AGCCGGCGGTTTTCTCCTTAACGCCTTGTGTCGAGCAGCACGGAACAAGACGCCGTCTGCTTCCGGAAGCCTCAAGAATCAGCTCGTGAAGAAACAGGAAAGGTGGCCGTGTGTAAGAGGAAGAGAAGAGGACGTCTCGGTATTTTACGAGAGTGGATGCTCCAAACTCAGCTGAGCCAGGTCCAGCGAGCACAAAAACCACGCGACCCCACCGTGGGCACAGGCATCAGAGGGCAAACCGAGCAGCCAAGACGCAGCTCTCCGCTGCAGAAGCTGTCCACGAACACGTCAGTCCCGTGAGTCATTTGCTATAAAAAGTTCAGTGTCTCATCTTCAGTGCTTGTTTAGCTATAATTCTGTACATTATATACAAAAAGGCACAAGGACAGCTGCTGGATGCTTCCGATCCTTGTTCTTTTGCAATGCTGAAGAATTTTAAAAACCAGAGTCTGGACTTATAAATAGTGCAGAAAATGCAAATGCTAAGAAGACGATGCCTCCTATGATTGTCACTGAAAAGAAAGAACAAACCAAAAAGAAATTAGATACCGACAGTTAAATATCTTCCATGACACATTACAGATTTTATTGTTTTTCAAGTCAGGGAAATTTGGGAATCAGACATTTAAGACTCATGCTGCAAACAGGGGACTCTGTTTCTAGCCCAGTGTCAGGATGCCCACGCCCCTCATCTAACTGCATCCACAGGAATATATCCCGGTCCTCGGGAGGAAGCTTCGTTTGATTAGCTAGCGTAAAACCGAGGTCGACGCCTGCTGTTGAATATTTGGCTGCATGGGGAAAATAAGATACAATATTCTCACGCTGGAGCAAACCATCAGGTAAGAGCGACACGCTAATTGGCATTTTTTGCAGAGTTTAGGTAACTATATTGAAAGAGGCACTACCAGAAGTGTTAGCTGCTTGCAACAGCCACAGTCTGCTAGAGGCGGGGAGAGCGCTCAGGAAAGCACCGCTAACGGGACAGACGGATCTTTAGTCGGAGCTGGTAAGGCTACTCCTGTGGCCAAATATCCACGCCGGGCTTATGAGGAGCATATTAAATCATAGTTAGATCAGCACCTCATCGTCAAGTTCCTTGGCAAACACGCACAACCGAACGCATGTTTCACTTTTTGCGGTGAAGTTGCTTTTTTACAACCTCTGCAACTCCAGGAAAAAAATAAAAAAACAACTCTGAACGAACATTTCCAGGCAGCAGCTTCACAGGATCCTTCCTGGGAGCAAGAAATCTCACCGCGTCACAGGACTGACAGCTGAAGCAAGCTGCAACCGAACTGAAGGGAAAAAACCAACCCAATGTAACTGTACCGGTCCTTCCTGTTACAGACAGGAGGTACGATCGAAAAACAATTCTGCCACACACAGAGCAGCTGTTAAAGCTTTTATATGGCTGGCGTAACTTGTATGCATGCTGTTCTCTTGCTCACCTGAAGGTCTGCGCCCAGAACTGCGACAGAATTTCTATTATCCACTGTCAAACAACACATACCGACTGTTCAAAGTACTGCGTTTCCTTCCTCCGCGCTCCTACGAGCCAGCTAACAGGGAAACTAAAGGCGCTTCACCTGCGCCCATCGCTAGAGCTGCACCACCCATTCCCTAAATCAGGGTCGGTGAGCCTTTAAGTGCAATTAAGCATCCTGCAGGGCCGCTCTCCGAGGGGAGCTGACCGTAGGACAGGGCAGGAGGTGGGATGGGAAGCACAGACCCCCAAAAAATTAAAGTTCTGGGGTTTTCCAGAAGTTCTGAGAAACACTGTTGCCAAGCACGCAGTCATTCACACACCAAACATCACCAGCATTAACACATGTTTTGGTTGGAGGGAGTTTTCACTTACCAGTCCTAACAGAAATTTTTTGTGCTATCATTCGCCCTCCAATGACTGCTAAGCCAGTGCACAGGCAGTGTCCCACCGTCCCTCCCACCGCCACACCATAGGGGTCCTGAGGAAAAAAAAACAAAACACAGGAGGGAAACATCAGCACAGCCGGAGACCGAGCAACGCCCTGCCGCGGAGCAGTGCCGCCATTCCCTGGGTGCACGCTGCCAAGCGCGGAGGAGACTCGCCGGCGTTTGCTCCGCTGCCCTTACGGGCCAGCACCAGTGTACGTCAGCTAGCGAGACAGGCTCGAAGCTAAACCTGACTAATAATGGGAGCAGACGGCGTGCTTCAGCCAAGAAGCATCGTCAAGTTGTTAAATACAGATCCAGAAACTGCTCTGCTGTACTTAAACAATTAAGCAACCTCTAGAGGGAAGGTGGCAGCTGTTGAGAAACACAGTATGCATCAGCTGGAAGAACACCAGCCTCATTATAAAGAAAAAGTAAATCCATGAACTGCAAATGAGAGAGCTTTCAGCAGCTACAGCACTCCAACTCCTTTGTCCAGCTTCACAAGCTTGTGCTCGACGCTCTCCCCCCAACCACCCAAGGCGGGAAGTATGAAAGAATTTAAATCCAGGTGATAATAAACTGTTTTCAACGTTTATTGTCAACGACAGCTTTCACACCACTGCATAACAAGCAGCTACTCAATATGTGAACAAATCCACTATGTAAAGAGGTTTCTCAGATCTGCTTACAAATTACACTGCTAAGGGCAGCACAGGTACTGCACGCCACATAAAACCAAAGGCTTCAGCACTAGGAACTGAAAACCATCTTTTGGTGACCGATAAAGAAGGCAAGGTAGGAGCGTGGCTTTCTGCTGCACAAAGATGAATGAGGGAAAGTGGAGCCGAGTCCCCTGCACATCTCTAAGTGAGACTTTAAGCTCCAAGAGCGAAAAAAGGTGTTGCTGTCACACGAGGAATGCATGAAATCTCTAACAGGCACACAGCAAAACTGCCTCAGAAATGATAGGGTATGAAGAAAAGAGAACGCTGACTGGCCAAATGAACAAAAACCACAAGCCAGCGAGACAGCGTGGCGACAACGAAGCAGAGCACAGGTAGGCAGCCACCAAGCAGGGCAGGTCGGAAGCAGGGCTGTGCCAGTGGAACACAACTCAACCTCCAGGATCAAGATTCCTGGAAATCCTCGTCTCCCTGCCGTGAGCAGCTACCGGCGCAGCTCTCACTGGCAGAGGGTGGGTCTCGCCCCCCAGGCCGTTCCCTACGGCTGTCCCTGGAAGGTGACAAGCTGCAACGGCTTCCCTCAGCGCGGCCTCTCCAGGAGCAGAAGTGCTCGGACACAGCGGCTGAGGCAAAGCCAGTCTAGCAGGACACCACAGAGCTTCCTTTTGTTGCCTGAACAGATGAACAACTCTTACACACAGTAAACTACTAAGGTGTGAAGTCAAGTTCTTAAGGACTGTGGTCGGCACTGGGTCCACAAAGACAGACCGAACTCATTCCCCTGGGGCAGGCACCGAGACAGCCAAATTATCACCCTTTTTTTTTTCCCTCCAGAGGAGCCCTGTTTGTTTGCAGTGACAGGACGGATGCTGCTCACTTAATGAGCAGTCACACAGTATTCGGTTTGCTTTTCACTGAAAAATGTATGGCCACAGCTGGCTTACCACACTGCTCAAATCTCCATGTAATTGCTCTGCTCATGAGCATTTCTGTAATGCTCCTGCTACGTATCTTAGTACTTCACAGACAAGGATTTATCTGAATATACTATGAAACAAAGGGGTATGAAACAATCCTACAGAGAAAATGAAAAAAAGATCCAGATCATAATCATTCACTGATTTTGAAAGCCACAATCAGGATCTCTTCGACTCATTTTCTGTAGCAGTTGTTTCTGTAGCGCGTATACCAACACTTCATACGTGAAAGGCGCAGCACCCCATGGTCTTTAGCTGCAATGCTCAGCGCTTCGCAAACCAGACCAGAGCCTGACGGACACGTCCTAATGGGACGCTCAGAAAATGAACACCAGAAGTCAGCACCACCCGTGAGAAGACCTGAGCAACTTGCCCAGCACCGTACAAAAGCTCGGTCAGAGGCAGTAATGATTCCTCATTTCCCAAGGCGGCATGTAATGCCCGAACAGCGAGATCGCCCTCTCGTCCCGCTGTCCCTGCCTCGCTAGCTCCAAGCACCTTCCCCACGCTCTGACAGAGACAGGAGGTTCCGACAGGTTACGGCCTCCTTCATGACACAGCCCCGATTTATCCCTGCGGAAGGTCTGGAAGTGCACAGGAAGAAGCACGAGCCCTGGGGCAAAAACGTAAATTATCTCAATGCATGAAAGAGCACAGGCAAGCCACTTAGGTTTATTAAAAGGCTGACTATAAGCCTTAATTTTCCTTTAAATATAATAGCTATATGCATTCCAATCATCACGCTGAGACACACCGGAAGGCTGTGCTGCCATTCAGCGTGACCTGGACAGGCTGGAAAGCTGGGCAGAGAGGAACCTGATGAGGTTCGACAAGGGCAAGTGCAGGGTCCTGCACCTGGGGAGGAACAACCCCAGGCACCAGTACAGGCTTGGGACGGACCTGCTGGAGAGCAGCTCTGCGGAGAGGGACCTGGGTGTCCTGGTGGATGACAGGGTGACCATGAGCCAGCAGTGTGCCCTGGTTGCCAAGAAGGCCAATAGAATCCTCGGGTGCATCAAGAAGAGTGTGGCCAGCAGGACGAGGGAGGTTCTCCTTCCCCTCTACCCTGCCCTGGTGAGGCCTCATCTGGAGTGCTGTGTCCAGTTCTGGGCTCCCCAGTTCAAGAAAGATGAAGAGCTACTGGAGAGAGTCCAGCAGAGGGCTACGAGGATGATGAGGG